CCACGAAACGCTGTGTGTGATATGCTTTTTGTGTTTTTTTTCTGGTCTTGGGATCGACGAAACGCTGTGTATGACAGGTTCTTATGGTTTTTCTGGTTTTCAGGTGCAGACAAACAGAGGGGGGGTGCGGTGGGGTGACGCCGCGGCGAGCACTCCAGCTCCAGAAACAAGAAAAACTATAAAAACCTGTCATGCACAGTGTCTCGTTGATTCCCACACCAGAAAAACAAGCAAAAAAAGAAAACATGGCATACACAGTGTTTTCTTGTTCGGAGGCCACGAAACGCTGTGTATGACAGTTTTTTGGGTTTTTCTGGTTTTCATGTGCCGACAAACAGGGGGGGGGGGGCGGTGGGGTGACGCCGCGGCGAGCATTCCAGCTCCAGAAAGCAGAACAACCAGAAAAACCTGCCATACACAGTGTTTCGTTGATTCCCAGACCAGAACAACCAAAAAAACATGTCATACACAGTCTTCTTGCTCGGAGGCCACGAAACGCTGTGTATGATAGTTTTTTGTTTGTTATTCTGGTTTCCATGTGCCGACAAACAGGGGGGGGTGCGGTGGGGTGAGGCCGCGGCGAACATTCCAGTTCCAGAAACCAGAGAAACCAGAAAAACCTGCAATACACAATGTTTTGTCGATTCCCAGACCAGAAAAACCAGAACGACATGTAATACACAGCGTTTCGTGGCCTCGGCCGAAACCGATATGCTTGCGCGCACGGTGCCCGTGACGGATGGGCCGAGCGGATGAGTTCGTCAGCCTGGATGGCAGGCCAAAGGTGAGTTGTGAAAAAACGAAGGGCTTCAACGAAACGATTCTGTGGATTCGTGCTTTGGGCGCTCTGGGGGGTCGCTGGGGGGGGACCGACCATATATATATATATATATACACACACATTGTATTGTTGATAGTGGTATTGGCATTGATATTGGTATTGATGGACCACCTCGCAGTTGCGGATTGTAGTGAGTGGGCGGCGAGGACGTCGGCAGCTTGCGGGGCTCTGCAGAAGCCCGCCGCAGTTGCTCATTTGCTCAAATTACGGAATGAGCCCGCCGCAGGCATCGATGTTTTCGTTAAAGCAACGTGGGTGGGTCGCTGTGTGGGTCGCGGGTGGGTGGCGGGTGGGTCGCGGGTGGGTCGCGGGCTGGGTCGCGGGTGGGTTTGGGTCGCGGGTGGGTCTCGGGTGGGTCGCGGGTGGATCGCCGGCGGGTCGCGGGGTGGGTCGCTGGTGGGGCGCGGGTGCGTCGCGGGGTGGGTCGCGGATGGGTCGCGGGGTGGGTCGCGGGTGGCGGGTCGCGGGGGGGATGACGATAGCAACGACACCAACAAAAAAACCAACAAAGGCAGCAATAACAACAACACCATCACGTACAACAGCAATCATTCTAATCATTTTCGTTCTTATCGGCTCGCGGGCCACTCAACACGTATATCCTCAACCCTCGGTACCCGCCTTTTTCGTTTTCGATCGTACCCTTGGGCGTATAATTTGTCGTGCAACGTATATTTCGTGCAGCCCCTGAGGCAGGGGAAATGAGGACGGATGGAAGTAAGGGACAAGGGGGATGAGGAGGAGGAGGAGGAGGGAACACGACAGAAAGTAGCACGAGGGGTCCAGGATCAAAAAACATTTGGCAAAACCAGACGCGCAGATCAGAGGTCGGGTCGGGAGGGCGGGCCCACGCGGCCAGGTCGAGCAGGCGGATTGCTGAAGCGTGCGTCCTGCATGAATCGCAAGGAAGTTTCGTGCGATAGCGCGATTTCCAAATAAAGCGTAAGGAAGTCCACAGCGAGAGCGTGATTCCTGAGCGTCGAGGGCGCGGCGTCTGTATAAATTGCGAGGAAGTCCCACGCAAGAGCGCGATTCTTGCATACACTGTAAGGAAACCGCGTGCGAAAACGCGATTTGGAAATCAAGTGTGAGGAAGTATCCGGCGGGAGCCGTTGTTGTTGTAAGCCAGGGGCCAACAACACAATTCTGAGGTTCAATCTTGTCCGTGATAGGAAACTGGGTGCGAGCCCGGGGACGGACACTTCAATTGAAAATTCACAGTCTGCCCCGGAGGGGGGATCAACAATAATTGTTCTGTAGGAGTGCGAATTCAACGGAAGAGCGGAAGAACGGAGACTCCCGCCCCTGTATGGGGACGAGCGCTCAACGGTCACACCCCGTTGGAACAACGGACAGTCCGGCCCCGTGGACTGTGGTCGGCGCTCACTGCGCCATGACGACTCATCCGGCCCTGCGGCGGGCCCCCTGCGGCGGCAACGCGCTTTGTATAGTGGACAAATGTACACTCCGGCCCCGCGTCTCGCTGTATCCGACCTGTGGCCGCCGCAGACACCGCTCCCCGTGTGCTGCCTCCTTCTCCGGCCCCGCGCGTGCGTTCCCAGGGAAACCTCCGGGATCCCTAGCAATCTTTCTGGGGAATCCTAACAAGTGATCTTCAGGAGTCCTGCGATATCCTTGTGGTTCCCCCCGGAGTCCTGAGGATTCTTCAGAGATCCTCAGGAGTCCTGAGGATTCCCCAGGAATCTTCTGGGCTCTTCAAGATTCCGGAGGAATCCTCAGGAATCCTCAGAAGCCTTAAGGAAACGTGAGGAATCCTTTGGGTTCCTCAGGAATCAGGAAAAATCCCCAGGAATACGCTAGGCTCTTTAGGAGTCCAGAGGAATTTTTCGGAATCCTCAGGGATCCTCAGGAGTCCTAAGGAACCCACGTCGGGGAAGAGGGCTGCTCGAGCCCGACGGAGCGATGACGGTGACAAGAATGGTCGCACCACCAAACGCGTCGCTAGGGTAGGCCAGGCGCGTCGCCTGCTACATCCCCGCGCCATTTGATGATCCGGAACTTGAAATTTCAACCGCTACTGTGGCGGGGAGCGGTACGTTGTGCAGAATGTATCTCCCGCATGAGCGCCGCGCCCTTCCTCGCCGAGGAGTGAGGATCGTTGGGTACCCCGACGAATCCGGAGGATTCCTCCAGAATCCTGAGGCATCCCGAGGAATCCGAGGGGGGACGAGAAATTCTTGGTAGATCCGGAGGAATCCCGAGGGTCCCTGGAGAATCTTGAGGAATTCTGGTGGACATTAAGGATTCATCACCAGGAATAATGGAGAGTCCTGGGGGGGTCCTGACGAATCCTGAGGGATCCTTTAGGTATCCTGAGGGGGTCTTGAGAAATCCTGAGGACTCCTCCTGGTGGATCCTGAGAATCGTCGGGGGCCCGGAGGAATCCGAAGGGAACGTGAGGAATCTTGGCGGATCCTGAGGACTCCTATAGGGGTCGTGGGCAATCTTGAAGGATCTTGGATTATATTGAAGATCCTCGGTGATGAATCATGGATCTTGATCTTCGATATTGATTATATTTGATTATATTGAAGATCCTCGATATGGATCTGGGATCATGGATCTTTGATCTGGGATCATGGATCTGGGATCATTATATTATCCATGATCATGATCATGGATCATGGATCTTTGATTATATTGAAGATCCTCGATATTGGATCTTGGATCTTGAGGAATCCCCAGGGAACGTGAGTAACCCTGAAGGGGCCATGGGGGACCCCAACGAATCCTGGGGGACCCTGGGGGTCATGCGGAGTCTGAGGGATCCTCGGGGATCCTGTGGGGGCCTGGGGAATCCTGGCGGGTCCTGGGGGATTCTCTGGCATTTTGAGGAATCCTGAGGGGTTCTGAAGAGTCCTGAAGAGTCCTGCCGAACCTGGACGAATCCTTGTGGACCTTCGGGGGTCCTGGGGAAGCCTCTGGGGGCACGCCCAGGGTGCCAACACCTTCTCCATCCCCATGGAGAGCCTGCCACCGCCGCCCCAGTGCCAACGCCTTCTCCAGCCCCGTGTTGCATACCCGCGGTTGCTGGAGCGTTGCTTGCCCTTAAGGGAAACGACTTGGCTTGTGAGGAAGAAGATCATCTCAACAACAAGCCAGGGCCGGGGCCAACGTTACTCCGAACAACAAAAGCAGCAGCAACAACAAGCACAAACGCAACAGCAACAACAACAGCAATAACAACCACACCACCAACAACCACACCAGCAACAACAACAAACACAACAACAACGACAACTCGCATAAGACAGTTGATACCGACAAACACAACAACAGCAATACCAAAAACAACCACAACACCACCACACACAACAACACCACCAACAACAACAACAACAACAATAACAACAACAACAACAGCAACAACAACAACAACAGTAGCAATATCAATAACAACAACAACAACTACAACTGCACAACCACCAACATCAATAGCAGCAACAACAACAATACCAATACCGCCAACAACAACATGCACACCACCACCACCAACAACAACAGCAGCAGCAAGAGCAGCAGCAGCAGCAACCCGCACCGCATCTCACTCGGATGTGCGTGTGTGTGTGTCCAAGGGGACGAGGCCCGGGGCCCAGTGACAGGGCCTCGTCGACCCATGGCTGGTCCAGCGCCCCCAGGGACCCTCTCAGTAGCGTGTGCCCCCTCCTCTCCCCTGCCTCCTCCTCCTCCTCCTCCTCCCTTGCTCCTCGTCGCCTCCTTCTCCTTTCAAGAATCGCCTCCCGGACGTGTCCCGGGGCGCCCTTCGGCTGGAAGCTCGAGGAGAAGCCAGCCATTGCGACGAGGACCACCACAGAGGACGCAACCATTGCTCAAACACCTTGATCCCGCATCCTTCTCGTCCTCATTCTCCTGCTCACAACCTACACGACGACGACGACGACGACGACGACGACGGCGGCGGCGACGACGACGACGACGGCGGCGGCGGCGACGACGACGACAAGGAGTCCGATGCAAAAGCCCCACCCCGCCCTCGTCGAAGCTGTGACCCGCCTTCCTGCGGCCTCCCGGACGACGGCGACAGCGGCGGCGGCGGCGGCCTCGGCGGCGGCGGCGACGGCCGCGGCCATCGGCGCCGAGGCAGCGCCCCCACCCCCCTGGCCGGCCGGCGTGCGAGGCTGCGGCGCGGATGGCCAAGTTTCCCTGCGGCTACGCGGACGGGAGCCTCGGCCCCTTCGAGTTCGACGGCAAGGAGACGGGTGGTGGGCGCGCCCCGGGGCCCGGGGGGCGGAGCGCGCCCGCGCTGCACCGGGGTCGGGCCGCGCCGCCCTGGCGCCCTGGCGCTGGCTCAGGGAGGAGGGAGGAGGGAGGAGGAGGAGGAGGAGGAGGAGGAGGAGGAGGAGGAGGAGGAGGAGGAGGAGGAGGAGGAGGAGCCCCTCCCGGCGGCGACGACAATGGCGAATGGCCCAGGGGCGGGCATTGCACGCATTCGCCCAGGAGCCCCGACGAAGGCATGGACCATCGGCGCCCTTGGATGCACGCGTGCTGCTCTCCCCTGACACTGAGCTGTTCGCCCCCATCGTCGCCCCCGGCCCGCCCCTCGCCCTGGCCCCCGCCCTCGCCCGTGCCCAGGCCCCATCCGTCCCCGGACGTGCTGGCACCGTGACAGAGATCACCACGGAAGGTCTTTGGCTGTGGCTCGGCCTCCCGTGGCCCTCGCCCGGCCCCCCAGGACCGTCAACAGAACGGCACGGGATGAAAAACTCGCCTTGGGCAAAAGGGCCTGCACTTCCGAAGTCTGGGGCCTCCGTCTCCTCCGCCATATAAGGGGGAGGCCGGTGCGCACCCTGGAGTCCCCAGAGCGGGCCCTTGTTGGGGGCCTCGGGGGGCTTCTGCCCAGACGTCCGGCTGCGGCTGCGTGTACCCCCGGAGGTCTGGACGCTGGGATGACCGTGGGAGTTTCTAAGTGGATAGGGGGGTTACAAGTGGATGCCAAGGTGGGTTATATCTGGCCCACACTGGCTTGTAGGTGGGCTACACATGTTCCAAGTAGCTTAGGGGGGTTAACGATCCGGGCTAAGTGGTCTCCGTCCACTTGGCGGAGTTATCTAACCCCCCTAAGCCACCCGGGGAATTTGTAACCCACTTATAAGTCAGGTTGGGCCAGACAGAACCTACATCAACCTCCACTTGTAACCCCCCTGTCCACTTCGAACCCCCACGTCCATCCCAGCAGGGCTGGCTTTTTCATCCCGGGTATTTTTTCTGTTCCCGGGACCTGTTGATCGGGGGCGGAAAAGAGGGGGGTGATGATTGGAGGGGTAGATATCATGGCGGGGGCCATGATATTTCCCCAGATTTGACGGCGCCTCTTTTTATTTCATTGCGTCCCTGGCCCCCCCGCTGGGCCGCGCACATGCCGCCGGTCATGATTTGCACCCCCCTCTCTTGGACCCCCCTCTCTTGGCCGCTCCCGAGTTGAGGGCCCCCCGGGGATGAACATGGCCCCACGCCGCGCGTTCCAATATTCCTCGAGCCTCGGCTCTCTGGCCTGGGCTCCCTCGGCCCCCCCCCACCTCGGGGCCCCCCCGGCGCCCGCGGCGGGCTGCGCGCGCAGGAGCGGCCAGTCCTCGGAGGGGTCTCGCGCGGCCGGGCAAGGGGGGCGCATGGGGGCCAGGCGCAGGCGCGCAGGCCGCCAGTGTGACGTCGGGCATGTCCCTCGCTCAGGAGGGCGATTCAAAAGTAGTTCTAGGAGAAAGAGTATGGGGACGATTTGTCGGGGATTTGTGTGACCACTTTGGAACATCTTGGAACTCTGATTCCTTCTTCGTCCAGAAGCTCTCTGTAGGAGGGCAGGCCCGACCGAACGCCGGTGTCGCACCGCCTGCAGCGATCGGCCAGCCGCCCACCAGGGGCCGCCTGCCTTGCAGGCCTCGGGGCCGCCTTTTGCCGGGGTCCCTCCGGCGCGTGGCTGGTGCGGGGAGCGATCGGGCCGGACGAAAGGGGGGGATTGGGAAAGGGGGGGTTACGAAATTTGCTGCATGCAACTGGTTTCGGCCCCACCGAGGGGCCCATTCCTCGATACATTGCCGCCTCCGGCACATCGGGCCTGGAAGTCCACGCGCATCGGGCGCTGCCAGAGGTGGATGCTCCAGGAGTCCCCCAAGATGCCCCAAACATTTTTGTATTCACTGTTTTGCCGATCGGCGCGGGCCCTCGCCCCCCCCCCCCCCTCGCCCGCCCCCCTCACCTCCTCCTGGAGTAGATCTTGGCTGTTTTGGGCGCCTGTTTCGAGCAGGTGGAGTCTCTCCCCCATAGGACGCATTGATTCAAACAGTCGCACTAAGCAGAGGTCCGGAGCCATACCCACCCTCCCGCCCTTTTTGCTCCATGTCGAAGCACCGAATAGGAAAACGCTCACCAGAAGGCCCCAGAGGTTCAGAGCGGCGCGAACAGCTGGGGACACTCGGGGCCACGACTACCTCCGGCAACCCTCGGACGAGCCGATTCGGCAGTGCAGGCGGAGTGGGCGCCTGGGAGGTCCATCGGCTGTGTGGGACGAACTCATGGAGGAAAGGGGAGCCCAGAGCTCGTGCTCGTAGTTTTCTGTCTCCCTGGGCCCTCTCCAGGCCCCCGGGGCCGACCATAAAAAATCCACGACGATCCGCTCGTCGCCGGGATGCAGCCCGAGGGTCCAGGGTCACCGTTTCCGTCCCGAGCCTCCCCCCCCTCTTGCCAGCCCAGATGTACCGCCCCCCCATCTTCACGGGCGCAACCGACTTCCCCACTTAGGTCAGTTACAAGAGCGCCACGCGCTCTTGCAAGAGCGCCGAAACTGCGTGTAAGAGCGCCGAGCGTCTTGTAAAGGCGCCAGGCTGCTTATGAGATCGTCGAGCTGATGAGTCGCGAAATGTCGTTATAACATATTGATATTCGAAAGTGTTCCAATATGACTTTCATGTATGAGCAATTGGTGAAGCCGCTGCACCCAGCTAAGGCAACATTATGCGGTATAAGCGCTTAAAGACATGTCACAACACAGCTCAACTTCCTTTAGTTTACCTAGCATTATACTAACATATGACAGCTCCGTCTAAGTATTTAGCAGATTCACATGATTCTGGCGACTTCGTCATGACGTTATGAGCGGTGCACAATATATATATATATATATATATATATGTATATATATAAATATACATGTATATATATATATACATATATGCCACATGCTTCTTGTGCGCCGCAGCCCTGGGGGTCGAGCGTGGCAAAAGAAACAAAAAAGTGAATATTTCCCCGCAGCCCTGGACGTTGAACGAAATAACAAAAACAACTGCCTGGAACAGTGAAGGAGCCAACCGATGTTATTTTTTCCACACGCAGCCCTGGGCAGCGGAAAGGAAACCGACAATATTCTCATGTTTTTTGTCTACGCCTCAGCCCTGAGCATGGCAAAGGACAAACACCGCACGCCCCAATTGTGAAACAATGCGTGTGTCAAGCTGTTTCCATATCCGCCTCACTTCCTCGCGTTCCCCGATCTGCTGCATCCGCATCCTATCATACCCTGTAGATCACGCCTCATGCTTCTCTTTCTCGTGTTCCTCCACCTTATCGCGCGCTCGTCGTCGCCATCGCCCTCGTCCTCGCCCTCCTCCTCATCGTCACGGTCATCAATACCATCACCGATGTTCACAGCGAGCTGCAGCTTGCGCCGATCGCCGAGCTGCAACTCACGCGCGATGAGCCGCGCCCCTGGCGCGAACGCCAAACTGCAGCTCGCGCGCGATCGCCGCCCACCCCCGCCCCCAGGACTATGATGATGATGATGATGCTGATGATACTGATGATGATGATGACGACGATGATGATGATGACGATGTCAATGATGTCAATGATGATGATGATGATGATGATGGTGGTGGTGGTGGTGATGATGATGATTCTGATGATGCTGATTATGCTGATGATGCTGATGATGATAATGGTGGTGATTATGATGATGGTGATGGTGATGGTGATGATGCTAATGATGCTGGTGGTGAGTGTGGTGTTGATGATGATGCTGATGCTGATACTGATGCTGATGATGACGACGACGACGCTGATGCTGATGCTGATGCTGATGCTGATGCTGATGCTGATGCTGATGCTAATGATGATGAGGCTGATGATGATGCCGCCGATAATGATTATGATGATGATGGTAATGCTGTTGACGATGATGATGATGATGATGATGATGATGATGCTGATGATGATGGTGGCGAGGTTGATGGTGATGATGATGATGATACTGCTGATGCTGATGCTGATGCTGATGCTGATGCTGATGCTGATGCTGATGCTGATGCTGATGATGATGATGATGATGATGATGATGATGATGATGATGATGATGATAGAAGGAGGAGGAGGAGCAGGAGGAGGAGGAGAAGGAACTGGAGGAGGAGGAGAAGGAGGAGAGGGAGGAGGAGGAGGAGGAGGAGGAGGAGGAGGAGGAGGAGGAGGAGAAGGAGGTGGAGTGAACGCGGGGCGCTGTCCCTGCAAAACGAGGACCCAACACCACAGGATTGCTGGGAACCATGATGTCGGGGTTTGGGTTATGCGTCATGTCCAGCGAGCTGTGAGTCAGTCCCGTTGCCTGAGGTTGCCTTGCAGCCGTTTTGACTCCAGCATCCATATACGCGACTCGACGCTCCCTTACACAGGATATCTGCAGGTACGTGTTTTCGCAGCTTGCCGTAAGCATGATTACCACTGTTGCTCACATCGTGGCCTCATTCCAACTGTTGGCCCGTTCTGTTTCCGGCATCCAGACGAGGTCCTCCAGCGAAGCCATCCTGGGCGTAGACGAACAGTTGGACAGGAAGGCCGGTCTGGGCGTGATGAACAGGGCGGGCGTCACTCAGTACCACCACAATGCGTTCAGCGTGGCCAAGGGGACCAAGAGGACGGACGGCACGTTCTTCTGGCCGGATCCCGCCAACCGTGAGGGGCAAGCGTTTTCTGGCGCGACGGACCTGACGGACAATGTCTCTTGGGGCTGGCACCATCCGAGCGGCATCTACAACACCATTCCAGTCGGCAGCCCCCTCATCGACGACGAGTTGAACATCTACATGGGGGCCGACGACGCCATCCGGAAGTTCGACATCACGGGCGAGATCAAATGGAGCTACGCTCCGCGTGGTCAGCTCGCAGCGGCGCCCACTCTTGTCGCTGCCAGCAGCAGGCGCCAGGCGGCCCGTCTGAAGAGCGACTTGAGCGCGGTGGAGGAGGACATGCTGCGGCCTGACTGGGACAAGGGCAACAGGTCTTCTTTCCGCTTCTTCAAGGATTTCATGGTCGGTGACGTCGTCAAGGTGAAGCCTGGCTTGAGCTACCGGGCGGACGGCAAGGAACTTTACAAGGAAGGCGACCAGGGGCTCATCACCGATTTCGTCCCGGGAGATGGCAAGGACAGGAGGGCTGTCATCGCATGGATGCGTACGGGCCACAAGAGTGTGCTTGATCTCCACTCTATCAAGAGCCGCTTCGTGCGCGTGCAGTCGACGAATGTGGATGCATCGGTGCCTCCCATGCTCGTAGGTAGCACCACCGCCGGTTACGTGTTCGCGATCGACCTGGAGAACGGAGAGGAGCTTTGGGCAACGTGGGCCTCGAACGACATTTCTGGCGTCAAGGGGGCTGTGGCAGCCAAGGATGGAATCGTAGTGGTTGCAACCGACAGGTGCACTGACAGGTATTGCTACAGGTACCGCAACCAGACCAATCCTCTCACTCCGGGCAATTCCATGGTGCGGGGCTTGAGTGCCGTGGACGGCAGCGCTGTGTGGGAATTCAAGACCATGGCGCCTGTGTGGAACATGGTCCCGCTGTGGGGCCAGGACTCCAACGTGATGTTCCAGGATGGGGAGGGCAGGATGTACTCCCTGGACTTGCAGACTGGCGCCCTTAATTGGAAGGCAGGTGGCGACATCGGGACGTACACCGAAGCAGCCGCCGCATACAGCTCTGATTACAACGCGGTGTTCGCCCTTGGCGTGGGCTACTACGATCGAGGCATTCGCCCTGGCCACACTAACAAGCATTGTAATCCTTATGTGGCACCTGGCATCCTTGTTAATTGCTTCACGTGGCCAGGAGCAAGGGGCTGGGTCCGCGGTTACAACGCCACGTCCGGAAGGAAACTCTGGGAGCAGACAACACCAGAGCCGCCAGCCAGCGCCGCCGTCCTCATGCTCAACAGCCCGAGTATGCACACCCGCTTGGTGGTCACTATTTGGGATGCAGGGAGGAGGAGGACGAGAAGGATGAGGGGGAGGAGGAGGAGGAGGAGGAGGACCAGCTTAAACTCAAGACGTGCCAACGATTCTGCAATAAACCCTCCCTCCACGCTCCCTCTCCCCAGGTCTCTGCAAGGGTTAATTTTCACAGGGAGACGTGACCTGTTGGAAGACAACCCTTTGAAAGTCCTGAACTATTGTGCCAGAACGCCATTCATGGGACCTCAAGATGTGTCTTGACGATCCTGAATCGGGTCAGAATACCATTCCTGGGACGTCAACACCACGAATCAACACAATCGTTGCGCACGGCAGGCGTACATCATGCGAAAACACCGTTCCTGCGACGTCAGCCATACAGTACGAATCCTTCAAACGGTTGTAAGCTTTTGAGACGTATACGCGCGGCGCCAAGGCCAGATCAACATTTTGAAAATGGCCCGTCCTCCATCCGTGAAACTCTTGCAAACTTTACATGCGAATTTGCGCGGCGGTAAGGCGAGGGGAACATTTTGAAAACGACCCGCCCGCCATTCATGACATTCTTTGCGCACTTTTATAAGGCGAATGTGCGCGGCGCTCAGGCGAGAGCCACATGTTGAAAACCACCCGCCCTCCATCCGTAAAAAAGTTGCAATGTTTCACCTTACGGGTCGTAAGTGGTGAGGAACTCTCAGGCGAACCGCCCACCCCGCCCTACCGACACGTCTCGGGGCGCGACAGGGAGGAAATACTTCTAACGAAAATGGATGGAGGGGGAAGATAAGGAGGAGGACGAGGAGGAAGAGGAGGAGGAAGAGGTGGAGATGGACCAGCAGCAGCGGGAAGAAATGGGGAAGAGGAGAAGAAGGAGGAGATGGAGGATAAGGATATGGAGGAGGAGGAGGAGGAGGAGGAGGATATGGAGGAGGAGGATATGGAGGAGGAGGAGGAGGAGGAGGAGGAGGAGGAGAACGAGGTCACGATGGGCTACAACTGCTGGCACAACTCCCCCACGCAGATCTGGGCTCTCGACCCGCACAACGGCCACATCCGGTGGAACAGGGACGGCCCGACGCTGTGGTCCGGCCAGTGTGCCGGCGACAAGGACGGCGCCGACATCCGCAGGGCTATGGGCGGCCGGGCTGTGTGCCATCCGAACAGTTGGTCCATCCCGGCAGCCGACTCGAACGGTGACCTGTATGTTGGCAACCAGGTAGGCGAGCTGCAGAAGTGGGGCTCGCCGACTGGGCTGACAAGGGACGTCCAGCTGCTCTCGACCCTGACCACCGGCCACGCCTTCCAGGATGCGGCCATCGCGTTCGGCAACGGCGTCATGGCCATCTCCACGTGCACTTCCCTCATTGTCTTGCAGACTTCCGCAGACTATTTTGCGAACGAGACTTGGACAGTCACGGCTGCACCGAACGTTGACGGCATGCCCGAGGGCTACAATCCCAGCGGGTGGCGCACGGGTGGCGCGTGAATGGTTTCGGCCTGCGCTAGGAGTACGCCCGGGTAGCAATAGTTGCTTCTCTTCCTGATGCACTTCTGGGCCCTTCTCGATGATGACTCGGGGCTGAACCTCCTTACACATGCATCATCGGTTCGAGGGTAGATCGCTTCCCTTGGCAAGGCCCGTCTCAATAGTTTGAAAGCACTAGTTGAGACATTGCATCGATCCACCCAGGGCATGTGCAAACTGAGGCCAGCCTGATGATGTGTGCTCTCCTCATGGCCCTGCGCTTGCTTCTTCGCCTCATCGTCCGCCTCCTCGTTTCATCTTCATCATTGCTCTCTTTCCTCGTCTCCGTCCTCGTCCTCATCGTAGTTCCCCCCGTCCTCGTTTTCTTTTTCCTCCTGCTCCCCCTCGACTTCCAAATCATTCCTCGTACGGTCGGACCGAAGTATAAGATCGAGGTCGGTTCGGGGAAGGTACCCTGATTTTCTTGGTGTCCGTTGGATGTTCTTGTGCATCCTGGACAGGGTACCTTTGGATGTTCTGTGTGTTTTGACCGGCGGAGGGTCTCGTGTTCTTGGAGGGTATTATTCTGTCCGAGGTCTGGTTGTATTCTTCCTCTTCCTTCCCTCCACATGCATCTGTATAAAAGATCGGGGCTTTTCGAAGACGCCTCCGGCAAACCCCCTCCGTCCGATGAGCGAAACAATTGCCTTCTTTGTTGGGCCTCGAGAGAGAAACTTTGAGCCTGTTGAAGCATCGTTGGGTGGCCTGTGGGTCTCTTTGTCCTCGTTGGGGACCTCCCTATTTGGCCGTCTTGGTAATCTATTGGGGTCCTCCCTTCTGAACAGTTCTCGAGGCCTCTGAGGCCCTCTTGGGGGGCGTGTTGGCGCTTTCTTGGGCCGTCTTCGGGTTCTGTGTGGCCGTTTTGAGGTCTTTTGCTCGTGTTGGTTGCCTCTTGGGGCCGTCTTGGGCCGTGCAGGGCACGTCCTGAATACTCCTGTGGGCTTCTTTCTAAAGTCGTCCTTGACCCTTCCACAGGCCCTCTTGGGGCCGTCATGGGCCACCATGCGGGCCATCGTGGGACCTCACCTAGATCACCAGTTACCCGCAATTTCCGGTAACGCTCTCGACGAACTGGTCGCGACCGGAATTCGGCCTCGGGGTCGCGAATTCTGGTAACGAACGAGCCGTCGACGTCTTCGAGTAACCATGTAAATTTCGGTAGTGCGCTATCGACCTTTCTTTATGCGCGACTGAAAGTTGCCGCACGACACATGACAGTTCGTGACATTCGCGATCGTCGCTGCATAAGTTGCTGTTCGTCGCTACCCGCATTTCGTCGCTACCGAAATTCAGAGTCGCCATTGCAGAAATTCCTGTTCGCCGCGACCGATTTTGGCGCCCATCAGCTTCGGTAGCGACGGCTACGAATATGCCTGTCATGAGCCATGGGACCTGTCATCATTGTCATCACTATCATCACCGTCACCTCCATCAGAAACATCATTATCATCACCGTGTTGCACCATCATCGGCACCGCTGCAGTCGTAGCATCAGCAGCCTGGTTATTGTCACCTCCTTGCGGATGCCAAACTCACTGTCACATCACTACCACCATATCACGACCATTCGACCATCAAATTGCCATCGGACCATACCGCTGTCGTTACACCACCATCCTCGTTATCCCTCGTCCTCCCTGCTCGCGACTGCTCGCTTCCTCCCCCCTTCGTGCTCTCTCCGCTCTCGGCGGTGGCTGGTGCAGCGCCGTTCGCCAAAGGGAGGATAGAATGGAGTTGAGGATCAACAGTGCATGGAGTGCATGATGGAGTGGAGGGGTGCAGCGCAGAACAGATGAGCATGATGACAGGAAACATGGTGGTGTATTCATCGCCAGTAGATCGGCGCTGAACCCCGAAGGGCCCCCGCGGAGGAGGACCCGAAGGAGAAAGAGGAGGGAGGAGCGGAGAAAAGGAAGAACGGGGTGGAAAGAGTCTGACCTCAGAGAAAAACCTCTGACGTCACAAGCTTTTCTCTGACGTCAAGCTGGCGTCAGAAGAACGTCATATGAGCCTCTGACGTCAGTACCACCTCAGACCAACGTCAGACGATGCATTTCATTATCGTATGCGTACTTCGTTCAGAGTTGGACGCACATGTGTCCCTGCTAGCCAAGGTCGTCATTAGCATCATTATCATTAGCATCATCATCATCATCATCACCATCATCACCATCGTCATCATCAAGAGCATACTGCTTATCGTTCTCATCATCGTCATCATCATCATCACCGTCATCAACATCATCATTATCATGTTTATCATCACCACCATCATCACCATCGTAATCATCATCATCGTCATATTCATCGTCATCGCCATTGTGATTACCATCACCATGACCATAATCACCACACTCATCACCACCATCATCATTGTCATTGTCATTGTCACCATCGGCATCATCATCAGCATCATCATCACCTCCATCACCACTCCCATCACCTTCACCATCGTCATCGGGATGCGGTGCCGGTCGCAGCAACAAGCACAATCACAATCATCGACAGCACAGTCACCATCACCATCAGCACCGACACCATAGTCCTCATCAGCGTTATCAGCATCAGCATTATCAGCATCAGCATCAGCATCATCAGAGCATAATCATCATCATCATGCCGCTAGCCTGAGAGCGCCCCAAGAGGGCCCTCAGGGTCACCCTGAGGAGCTCAAGAGAGCTCCAAGAGGATCCCAACTGGGCTGCAAAGGCCTACACGTGGGACGAAGATGACGAAGATTAGGGGAGAAGGGTGACTTGAGATGGGACGATTAGAGGCGATGATGAGGGACGTCACAGGAGATGGCAGGTACGATGTTGATTATTTTGGTATGTTTTTGTTGGGGTCGCTACCGACATGCCGTTCGAATGCTACCGAACCTTCTATCGTTACCGAATACTTTTTCCATCGTGACGCAATTTCGTCCAATCGTTACCCAATTCCCGATTGATCGTTACCGAAATTCACATCTCGGTGGCTACCGGATTTCGGTTCGCCGCTACCGAAAATACAGCTTCGCTCGAAACCCTTACGCGCCGTGTCTTTGTTACCGAAATTTGACCCACTGGTCGCGACCGAAATTTGGCGCGCCGGCTGTCCGGTAGCGAAATTTCTTAGTCGCGGATGATTTGGGTAAAGAAGCCGTTTGAAGTTCTTTGGCTGTCCCAGGCCCTCTTATACCATCTTGATATGAAAGTATCACAAAGGGTACCTCGAGAGTTTTCAATTGACCTTGGCCGTCTATGGGCCCTAGTGTTGGGGGGTGCTTGGGGACGTTTGGAAACCTCGTATCTTCCTTGTGGAGTCGTCTGGTGCCCCGTGGGCAATCTTGGCGCCGCTTTACGCACTCGCAGGCCGTTCTGTGGCCGTCCAGGGACGTCCTGGGCATTTCTTGGGCCACGCTGGCGACTCCTCAAGCGATCTCACGGATTCGTGTACTGCAAGGTGGATAGCCAGATATAGCCAGAGACAGAGAGCGAAAGTCTTGTGGAGATGTTGTTCGAGTAGGGGATCGACGACTACATAACTGATTAATCCCAACCTAGCTTCCTCGTCGAATCCGTGAGAAAAATGCATAGACTAGTCAGTACATATACGGAGCGTTGTAGGGATGTTTCATAGATTCGGCGGTTCTCTTCGGGGCACATCGATTTTGTAGTCGACCCCCTACTCGAGTTGTGGGAGTCGGAGCATAGGTTGATTGGCACGCCCAGCACGCTTGTGGAGACTCGGGGTGGCGCATCTTCGGGTCTTCGCACTCCGTGGCCTGCCCCCCGCCTTACTGAGCCGAGGCTTGATGTTTGTATTCTTGTGTCAATACTGGGCAACGTGGCGTCATGGTTGATACCTCATGGGGCAATGTTGGCTTTGCTTGTGCTCTCTTGGGACCTTTGTCGGGCCGTCCTGTTCCGTGGAAGCATCTGGGGCCCGATGGGGGCTGCGGGCGGGAACTTTGACTCAGCGTGTCATTCCGCCTGTTCCCCTGGCGTCAAACGTCCCGAGCTTTACTCAGCCTCCCGCCCCACAAAGCGGAGCGACGTGCTATCCGCTCGCCAGGCATGGCGTGTCGCCAGGGCCGCCGCCGCGACACGCTAAAGCAAAATTTCCTCCTCGTGGAAGTCCAGGGAGGTGCTGGGGGACTCTCGGTTCCGAGGGCTCCTCCTCCCCCTCCCCCTCCTCCTCCTCCTCCTCCCCCTCCTCCTCCCCCTCCTCCTCCTCCTCCTCCTCCTCCTCCTCCTCCTCCTCCTCCTCATCCTCCTCCTCCTGGGGACCCTCTGGGAATGCACTCGGACTCGGGGAGCCTCGGTTGGCGCTGGGAGCCCGTGGGAGCCTCCAGGAGGCTGTGGAGTCCCTGCGGGCCCCTCGGGGCGCCACGGGAGGCCCTGCGAGGACGAGAGGCGCGAAACGCTTACCGGCTTGGTTTTGGTGGCTTCTGCGCCTCCTCTGCCCATGGCCACATGTATTATGTGTGTTTTATGCTATGGGCGCCCAGAAGCGAATCACACGACCCAAGGGGGCTCGAAGAGGTCGCCTTGACCGTCCAATTGGGCACCCATCTATTGTAATGGCCTCTGGCCAGTGCCGCCGATCCGGGGGGCTCCGGATTCGGTCATGGAGTTGTCGGGGACGCTGTTTGGGAGGGAGGGCGCTCTTGGAGTCGTCGAGAACGCTTTTTGGAGCTGACGTGCCCGCTGGGGGGGGGCCTGGAGCGGTCCCGGGGTGGGTCCGGAGAGGGTTCCGAGGGGAGGGTCCTGGGGGCGGTAGCGCCTGATCTGAGGGGGGTCACTGGGACCCTCCGAAACATCTTGGGGATGCGCAAATCATTAAGAGAACGCCAGATGGGGGACCGTTCCCCTCCCGTCCCCCCCTTCCCCAGAGGTCCCCCCCTTCCCCGGAGGGGGTCCGGGGAGGGCTCCGAGGGGAGAGTCCTGGGGGGGGGGCTGGTACCCCCCGGAACATTTTGGGGATGCGCAAATCATAAAGAAAACGCCAGATGGAGGACCCCCCCGCTCCCCCCCTTCCCCGGCAGAGCCACCCCGGCGACCCCCCCCAAGCAGAGCTGAAGCTCTTGCTTAGGCTCAGAGCTAAAGCTCTGGCTGAGGCCCCTTGTAGTTCACACACCGGATCGGCGGACTTCACGATGGCCCGAGAGGCCTCCAGTCGACAATCGTTGCGCGGTTCACGAGAGGCCCCACGAGCCCCAGATAGTATCCAAAATCATGACGTCAGCTTCTTGGTGTTGTTTTGTGGTGTCGCAAGCTTTTCTGTTTCAAATAGCGTCGGGAGTGCTTCAGAGGATCCCGAAAGACATCCCAGCATCGCCCAAGGAAGGCCCCGAGATGAGCCAAGGGGGCTAACAGAGGGCCGGTTCCAGGACGGCTTAAGACGGCCGGCTGAGGGCGGCCCTCCAAAACGGCCCAAGAGAGCCCCAAGCCCCAAGCCCCAAGCTTCCCCAAGCCCTAGAAGACCCAGGGGAGTTTTCTTCGTGTTTGTTGGATGTTTTTGTGCATCCTGGGGAGGGCACCCTCAAATGTTCTTCATTTTTCGAGGAAGAAGAAGAAACACGGCATAAGCATACACTTTGGACGCTCCTCACGTATTTCTTGGATCCGCGCTGGACCACCCCGGCGGCGCCTCCAGCGCCGCCCCTAGCGCGCTCCGCGCGCCAGGGAGGGTGGTCCAGCACGGATCCAAGAGATCAGCGCGGAGCGCTAAAAGTTTATGTTTATGTTGTTGTTCTTCTTCTAGCATCCTGGGGGAAGGCACCCTCAAATGTTTTTCAAATTGGCCAGCGGAGGGTCTGATCTCCTTGAAGCATGTTTTTCGGTCTCAGGTCCGACTGAACACGCAAGAGTGACCACTCGCCAGCGCGACCTTTCGTGCGCGGCCTTGGGGGGCGGGGGGGCCAAACCAAATCAGGAGGGCTACTACTGCCGCGTCGGAAGGCCCGACCGGCAAGCTGCGCAGCAGATGTCATTCTTGCCAATCGGGGGCAACGATCGGGGGGAATAGGCATTAGGGGGGATGCGTTGGCCCCCGATCGCCCGTTGATCGCCCATGGGGGCCCGACAGCCCCCACCCAGCCCAGGAACGTGCGGGTCCACTGTCGGGGTCCCATCGCCGATCTATCGGCGATGTATCGCTGATCTCAGGTCGATGTCTACCCAGACACGCGACATCTTGATTTTTCAGGACGGCGCCCCCAGAAGTCCAGACCCTTTCCCCGAGGCCGTTTTTTTGTCCTGAGTCGGTTTTTGACGGTCCCGAGGCCCGGCGCGGGCCCCCCGAGGCCGAAGTTGGCCAAAAACCTCCCGTCCTGATTTTCGTTACGATGCGATCATGCCTGGGTGCCCCCCCCCCTCCCCGCCCTGCCGTTGCCCAGGGTCACGTCTTGCGTGCAGGCGATCGGCCTGGCAGGGCGCATGCCCCGCCCTGGGGAGCCCGGGACAGCCCCCGCTGCCAGCGGCAGCGTGTGCGGCCACTCTGCGTGCGCCCTGCGCGCGATATCCCGCAGCCACGCTGGCAGTACTACACACACGCCGCTCCGTGCATCACCGCAACTGCCTTCCCTGAAGAAGAAAATAACGCCAGAAACATAAGCTTTTGGCGCTGCGCGCGTATTTCTCTGATCCGCGCCCGGGTTCCCCCAGGCGGAGCCTCCGGCGCCGCCCCTGGCGCGCTCCGCGCGCCAGGGAGGGGGAGCCAGCGCGGATCTAAGAAATCCGCGCGGAGGGGTCCAGCATTTTATGTTGCTCGTGCTTATTCTTCTTCCGGTGCGCCTCCGTGCAGCACCGTACCTTCCCTCGGCGGCGCGCGCGGGGGGGGAGGTCGGATTCGGGCCAGCGGGTCCCTTGCAAAGGAGGGGGTCTCCAACATGTGCGCGGTAGTTCTGGCAACTGGCATGGGATCATAATGTTGCCAAGTTTACTGCGTGAGGTCGCCCTCACCCAAACGATCGACAAGTGACCTAAGGACTCAGCGTGAACTGGGGTGGAAAAAAACAACAACAACAACAACAACAACAACAACAACAACAACAACAACAACAACAACAACAACAACAACAACAACAACAACAACAATTACTAGCACGTGGGGACACTCCGTTCTCACCAGTGCCAGGGTTTTCATAGGAGGCGGGCAATACCCCCACTTTGTGGGGGGGCCGGTTCAAGCTCTACCAAATTTCCAAACGACTCTTCGCCACCACCCACACCCAGCTTCCCGCCCTATGACGTTCGGACACTTCACTTCGTGGCATGCGGACGACCGTGGCTACTATTCAGGGCCCCGCGGCCGACGACGACGGCGTGCGCGCGCGAAGAAAAAACGAATGTGTCCCGCATGGTATTATTTGACAGGGATGATGGCCCTGGCAGGTGCGCAACCGTTGTCGCAGAAGTTCGAAAAAGTTGCTCGCAAAAGCCCGTTTGACAGAAATGTTTAAAAAGTGTTGGGTTTCCTACGAATCCGCAAGAGCGCGCGGGATGAGATTTTGACAATTTTTTTGTTGAAAAACCATTGGTTTTTTGATGTTTTTATGTTAAAATCGCTGCGAACACTAAGGTTTTGGAAGGATTTCGTCTTGCGCGCGCGAATGTCCACTTTACCTTATTTTTTGCAAGGGATTCTTGAAATTTGATTATATTAGAACAAGAAATGTCATTTTCTATTGTTTTTTGCAAGGGAAAGCGGATTACAACAAAACAACCGGATCCTGTACACACCCTCTTTTCTGAGGCTTCCTCACGAAAATGATGAAAATGTAGCTGCGGCCTAGGCGGCGCAGGGGGGGGCGCGCACCAGGGGGCCCAACAATAATTATTCTTTAGAATAAATAATGTTCAACAGCAACAGCAACAACAACATGTGCGCGGCAGTTCGTGCAGCCGCTCGTGCGGGAGACGCACGTCGTACAACATCAGCACGTGGCTGCCACGCTCCACGCGCCACAGGACGAACTATTGCATGTTTGTGGCGACCCCATGGCGACAGACCCCCTCTCTTCCCGGAGCGACGGAAGAGAGAGGGGGGACGGCCTTCTCAGAAGGAGGCGTGTCGTCTCAGAAGCCCTTCCCGCCTTCTGAGACTCCCCTTGCCTTGGCGTCGCTCGGGCGTGTGCCTTTTCCCTCGTCGAGGACCGTCGAGGAGCATTTTGGCCCATCTTGCGAAGAAGTAAACGCACGACGTCGAACCACGCACGGAAAAGGGACGTCCGAGCGCTGGCGAGCTGTGCCTCGTGGGGGGCTCCTCGGAGGGCCAGGGGCCTCGGGAGCCTTCCGCGGGGACCCGCCCTCTCTGCCCCAGACCCCGGCGGCACGGATTCTGCACCTCGTGGACGCCCAGAGGTCTTGATTCGACTAGACGTAAGAGTGACCTTTCGCCGGAGTGACCTTTGGTGCGGGCACAGATGGGTCCCCAGATGATTGAAAACGAAGCAAGAGCAGCGGCTTGCGCGCCCAGGTTTGGTCCCCCGCGGCCCCCAAAAAGCCGCGCACCAAAGGTCACTCTTACCCAGGGTCACTCTTGCGTGTAGCCGATTGATCGAAGAAGAAAAGCGCCATATAAACCTAACCTTGTGGCGCTCCGCGCGGATATCTTGGATCCGCGCAGGGCTTCCCTGGCGGCGCCTCCGGCGCCGCCCCTGGCGCGAGGAGCGCGCCAGGGAGGGGGGGGCGGCGCAGATCCAAGAAATCCGCGCGGAGCGCCACAAGTTTAGGTTTACAAGGCGTTTTTCTCTTCTTCCGCTGGGCCCATCCCCGGGGCCCAGGTTTCCCTCGTGCGCCGTTTGTGTTGACGAGCCCGGGGACCCGGCGAGGGCCCCCAGAGTCGACCAAGCAGCAAGCGATACACCACCCCACGCTGCGTCCCTCCACGTGGCGCCGTCCTGCCCCACAAAGGCCCAGGCCAGAATTTCCACCGTCTGTGCCTACAGGGCCCGTGTGGCCGTGGGCGTGGCGGTGTCGCTTGCTGTCTGGCCCACAGAGGCCGCACATCGCCGAGCACCGTCCGCCGTGACTCTTCTTCACGTCGACCCGCGGGGGTCTGGGGCCCCATCGACCATCCTCCCTGGGCGCGCCGCCGGGGCCTGCGCAGCCAGCCCCTCCGCTGCGGGGGCGGCCACGAGGGGGGTGATGACTAACAAATCCTCTCGCGTGTAGGGTGGCCCGAAATTGACTTCCCTGGCAGGAGAAATCCCCCCACCCAAAATTCGAGCCCGAAGACGAGGAGGAGGAGGAGGAGGAAGAGGAGGAGGAGGAGGAGGAGGCGGAGGGGCGAGCTCATTTCCCGCCGAAAGAAGCGGGGGGGGTCAAAACTTGAGACCTCCTGAGGTGAGGTGAAGGGGGGGGGGATATCATGGCCGGGGCCATGCTATCTCCCAGGAGGAGAAAAGAACACACAGACACTTTGGATCGTCGACCCCGAGGAAAATATGGGAAGCTATGGGAAGTGGGGGGGAAGACAGAAACCCCGCAAATATGGGAAACTATGGGGAATCCTGTTCTCTGTGTGTGTTTATTGGTGTGTCCTGGGGCCCCTTCAATCTCTCCAGATCTTAGGTCCCCTCCCTCCCTCTTTCAGCGCGTCCCCTGGCCCTCCCCCCCCCCTGCCGGGCCGCGCACGTGCCTCGGGCCAGGCTTTGCGAGCACTCTTCTCTTGGAGAAGCCCTCGTTGGAGACGGGAGGAGGAGGAGGAGGAGGAGGAGGAGGAGGAGGAGGAGGAGGATTTGCGAGCACTCTCCTCTTGGACGCCCCCCTCGTTGGAGAAGCCCTCGATCTCTGGCGCCCATGGCCGCGCTCGGCGCTCGCCTCGTGGCCCTGTCGCAGCTGCTGGCCGCCTCCGCCCTCGGCATCCAGACCAGGCCTCCGGCGGCTCCCAGATCTCTGGCGGTATGCTTCAGTCGGGCACGCGCTCCTAGAGGAGAGTTCCTTGATAGTCAAAGGATAGTCTGGGAAACATGTTTGAATAATTTGATTCTTTGTGGAATATGATGCTCATGATTATGACTATGCTGATTAGTATTGTTATTACTATTTCCATTACTACCATTATTCGCAGTATTGATTTTACTTGTATTATGAGTAGTATTGTTGGTATTATACGTATCATTAATAGTATTATTAGTATTATTATTACTATTATTAGTATTATTATTCTTATTATTATTCCTATTATTATTATTGTTATTATTATTAGTATTATTTATTATTACTATTACTATTATTATTGTTATTATTGTTATTATTATTATTATCATTATTATTATTATTTAATAGTATTATTATGTATTCATTTTATAATAATAATTGTGTATGTATATTTATATTACTGTGTTTGATGTTTGTCCAACATCCGCTTGTCGCACATTACCGACCTAACGGTGTGATCTTCTCCCTGCGGGCGCTTTTCCCCGTCAGCTCCCAAGCCTCCGACGATGTATATATATATATGTGTATATATATATATGTATCGATGCGGGCGCTGTTCCTGGATGTCGGCCCCCAGGGCCCGTTCTCGGGGCCCCGGGACCGCCGGGAACGAAGCCGAGTCGAGAGGCCACCCCAGGCGACTGGGTCGGGAGACCTGGGGGCGCGGATGGAACAGGCCGTGCTGGAGGACGTGGGCCGCCCTCCTCCCCAGATCGCCAGGCCTCGGACGTTTCTGTTGTGTTCAGTGTGGGAGTGTTCGGGCCGCAGAGCCCTCACACAAAGCAATATACTCGGGATGGAAAGCCGCCCCGGGCGAGGCGGCTGGGATCCGAAAGTGAGAAGTCGCGACGTCGAGAGTCCAGGGGCACCTCGAGGTTTTGAGGGGGAGGGGGAGGCGAGGGGAAGGGGCCATGAACGTCACGATTCGTGCCGGCGCCGTCTGGGAATGGCGCCGGCGCGAGTCGTGATTTTACCGTGGGTGTGTGTGTGTGGGCGAGGCTGGTGACGGGCGTTATGGCGAATCATAACTATGCACGCTGGTCGTTGACAGTGCGTATTTATGTGTTCCCAGATCCCAATCTTCTTCAAGCGCCTTCAGATGTCAAGAAATGATATGCTCTTTAAGCTTTTGCTGCGTTTTGTTATTATCTGGGATGGCCTGAACCCAATCCACTTAATCCACATTCCCACTCCATGTTTGTACCTACTTCTTCCGACCGACGTGTAATTGTTCCAACCAGCTTTGGTTGGAAGGAATCGAGAGTTCCGGGGTCGGGCGGCTCGAGGCATGCGTCTCTCCTCTTCCTCCTCCTCCTCCTCCTTCTCCTCCTCCTCCTCATCGTGCCATCTCCAGGTCCGCCAGCGAGGCCATCATGGGCGTAGACGAGCAGTTGGACAGGAAGGCCAGCCTGGGCGTGATGAACAGGGCGGGCGTCACTCAGTATCGCGGCCACGCGTTCCACGCGCTCAAGGGGGCCAAGAGGGCGGACGGTAAGTTCTTCTGGCCCGACGCAGCCAACCGCGAGGAGCAGGGTTACTCTGGCGCGATGGACCTCACGGACAACGTCTCCTGGGGCTGGCACCACCCGAGCGGCATCTACAACACCATCCCGGTCGGCAGTCCCCTCATCGACGACCAGCTGAACATCTACATGGGGGCGGACGACGCCATCCGGAAGTTCGACATCACGGGCGAGATCAAATGGAGTTACGCACCCCGAGGTCAGCTCGCAGCAGCGCCCACTCTTGTCGCCGCCAGCAGCAGGCGCCAGGCGGCCCGTCTGAATAGCGACCTGAACGCGGAGGAGGAGGACATGCTGCGGCCTGACTGGGCCAAGGACAACGCAACTTCTGTCCGCGTCTTCAAGGACTTCATGGTCGGTGACGTCGTCAAGGTTAAGCCCGGCTTGAGCTACCGGGCAGACGGCAAAGAATTTTACAGGGAAGGCGACCAGGGGTTCATCACCGCTTTTGCCCCGGGAGATGGCAAGGACATGAGGGCTGTCATCCAATGGACGCGTACGGGCCATAAGAGTGCGCTTGATCTCCACTCTATCAAGAACCGCTTCGTGCGCGTGCAGTCGATGAATGCGGATGCCTCGTTGCCTCCCATGCTCGTGGGTAGCACCACCTCCGGCTACGTGTTCGCCATCGACCTCGAGAATGGAGAGGAGCTCTGGGCAACCTGGGCCTCGAACGATATTGCTGGTGTCAAGGGGGCTGTGGCAGCCAAGGATGGAATCGTAGTGGTCGCAACCGACCGATGCACTGACAGGTACTGCTACAGGTACCGCAACCAGACCAATCCCCTCACGCCGGGTAATTCCATGGTGCGGGGCTTGAGTGCTGCGGATGGCAGCGCCGTATGGGAATTCAAAACTATGGCGCCTGTGTGGAACATGGTCCCGCTCTGGGGCCAGGACTCCAACGTGATGTTCCAGGATGGGGAGGGCAGGATGTACTCCCTGGACTTGCAGACTGGTGCCTTAAATTGGAAGGCAGGTGGCGACATCGGGACGTACACCAACGCAGCCGCCGCATATAGCTCTGGGCACAACGCCGTGTTCGCCCTCGGCGTGGGCTACTACGATCAAGGCATTCGCCCTGGTCACACTAACAAGCACTGCAACCCTTATGTGGCACCGGGCATCCTGGTGAATTGCTTTACTTGGCCAGGAGCAAGAGGCTGGGTCCGCGGCTACAACGCCACGTCCGGAAGGAAACTTTGGGAGCAGACAACGCCAGAGCCGCCAGCCAGCGCCGCTGTCCTCATGCTCAACAGTCCAAGTCTTCACACCCGCTTGGTGGTCACAATGGGGGAGGCAGGAGCAGCAACAGCTGGATGATGTGGAGAAGGAGGAGGGGCAGGAGGAGGAGGAGGGAGGAGGGGTAGGCGGAGCAGGATGAAGAGAAGGAGGAGAACGAGGTCACGATGGGTTACAACTGCTGGCACAACTCCCCCACGCAGATCTGGTCTCTCGACCCGCATAACGGCCACATCCGCTGGCTCAGGGATGGCCCGACGCTGTGGTCTGGCCAGTGTGCCGGCGACAGGGACGGCGCCGACATCCGCAGGGCTATGGGCGGCCGGGCTGAGTGCCATCCGAACAGCTGGTCTACACCGGTGGCCGATTCGAACGGCGACTTGTACGTTGGCAACCAGGTCGGCGAGCTGCAAAAGTGGGGCTCGCCGACCGGGCTGACAAGGGACGTCCAGCTGCTCTCGACGTTGACCACAGGCCACGCCTTCCAGGATGCGGCCATCGCGTTCGGCAACGGTGTCATGGCCATCTCCACGTGCACGTCCCTCATCGTCTTGCAGACTCCCGCAAACTACTTTGCGAACGAGACTTGGACAGTCACGGCTGCACCGAACGTGGACGGCATGCCTGGGGCACCGAACGTCGACGGCCTGCCTGAAGGCTTCATTCCCAGTGAGTGGCGCGTGAACAAAGGTGACGCGTGACAGGGTTTGCCTTTGGTTAGGGGTACGTACGGCCGTGCAGCCTGACGTGCTGCTCATTGTCGTGCAGACATGGGAAGAATTTCGCATCCGAGACTTGGTCATTTACCTTTAGACTGGGGGGACTTGAGGGCATCGCCGATGGCTAGTCGTATTGAACCTGACTCAAACAGTACATGCTGGTCCTTTCTCATTCCTGCCTCAGTTTAACACGCTTCGTGCCTCTCTCTCTCGTGTTTTCTGTCCCTTCCTCGTTCAGTGCCGATGCCAATCTTGCCATAGGATCTGAGCAACGGCAGAAATTGTGATGTAAGGCAGTCAGTCGTCTTGAACATCACTCGCCCGCGTCTCCCGATACATCTTCCTGAAACACGACGATTCCACATGATAGGTTTAAGTCGGGCGTGTCCCTCTACAGGAGTAATGTTCAATAACAGTCAAAACATAATCTTGGGACGATGTGTATTGAGAATGTTTGACAAATTCCTAACCATCTTGTGGTGTTGGGTCTTCGTTTTGAAGAGACGGTCCCTGCGTTTTTCCTCATACCGCTGCCCCCTCCCTCCTCCTCTCATCATCATCATCGTCATCACCCGTTGCAGCACATCCCTCACACGTTTCGTGGCCCCATAGGGAGCTCTACTGAAGGTCCCAGTGGCACCGCCAGCATGCGCCACCGGCACCCATTTCGGCACACCCCCCTCACACGTTTCGTGGCCCCACAGGGAGCTCCACCGAAGGCCCCAGTGCCACCGCTCGCACGCGTCACGCACATCAATGTCGGCACACCTCTCACACGCTTCGTGGCCCCATAGGGAGCCCCTCCGAAGGCCCCAGCGCTACCGCCCGCATGCGTCACGCAAACACCATTGCGGCACACTCCTCACATGTGTCGCGGCCCCATAGGGAGCCCCACCGAAGGCCCCAGTGTCACCCGCCCGCATGCGTCACGCACACCCATTTCGGCACACCCCTCACACGTTTCGTGGCCCCATAGGGAGCTCCACCAAAGGCCCCGGTGCCACCGCCAGCATGCGTCACGCACACCCATGTCGGCACACCTCTCATACGTTTCGTGGCCCCACAGGGAGCTCCACTGAAGGTGCCACCGCCCGCACGCGTCACGCACACCCATATCGGCATACCTCTCACACGTTTCGTGGCCCCACCAGGAGCTCCACCGAAGGCCCCAGTGCCACCGCCCGCATGCGTCACGCACACAGATTTCGGCACCCCTCACATGTTTCGTGGCCCCATAGGGAGCTCCACCGAAGGCCCCAGTGCACACCCCCCACACGTTTCGTGGCCCCATAGGGAGCTCCACCGAAGCCCCCAGTGCCACCGCCCGCATGCGTCCCCGACACCCATTTCGGCGCACCCCTCACACGTTTCGTGGCCCCACAGGGGGCTCCACCGAAGGCCCCAGTGCCACCGCCCGCATGCGTCACGCACACCCATTCCGCCACACCTCTCACACGTTTCGCGGCCCCATAGGGAGCCCCACCGAAGGCCCCAGTGCCACCGCCCACATACGTAATGTACACCCATGTCGGCACACCTCTCATACGTTTCGTGGCCCCATAGGGAGCTCCACCGAAGGCCCCAGTGCCACCGCCAGCATTCGTCACCGGCACCCATTTCGGCACACCCCTCACACGTTTCGTGGCCCCACAGGAAGTTCCACCGAAGGCCCCTGTGCCTCCGCCCGCATGTGTCACGCACATCCATGTCGGCACACCCCTCACACGTTCCGTGGCCACCGTAGGGAGCTTCACCGAAGGCCTCAGTGCCACTGCCCGCATTCGTCACGCACGCCGATTCTTGCACACCCCTCACACGCTTCGTGGCCCCATACGTAGGGAGCTCCACCGAAGGCGCCAGAGGCTGCGTTCGCATGCGCCCCCCGCACCCAGCTCGGCATACCCCTCACACTTTTCGCGGCCCCATAGGGGGCTCCACCGACGGCCCCAATGGCTGCGTTCGCATGCGCCCACCGCACCTATTTCGGCACACCTCTTACGCGTTTCGTGGCCCCATAGGGAATTCCACCGATGGCCCCAGTGGCTGCTTTCGCATGCGCCCACCGGACAAATTTTGGCACACCCCTCACACGTTTCGTGGGCCCATGGGGAGCCTCTCCGAACGCGGTGCATACAACGACGGTGCTCACAACTGCATATGTTTGGGTCCTTCGGCAGGCTAATTTGACTAAACGATCCTCCAACATCTGCCTGCAGAGGGACATGCAGGATCCGGCGTGGAAAAGGAACCCTTACTTTCCAGAAGGGGCCCCGTGCCTTGTACTCTTCGAGAGGGGCGTCGTAGACTTGCCTGGAAAAAGAGGGGCGTCGCTCCTTGTTCGTTCCGCAGGTCAGGCCGCATACCGCACCCGACTGGAGGATCGGTGTCGAGCTCAGGCCTGGGCCTGCGCAGCGCCATCCCCCCCTTGGTCGCGCCGCCTCGCCCGGGGTCCCCCCAGGAGCTCGCTCCCGACCCCCGCCCGGGAAAAGGGCACGGCGGGGGCGTTCGTTGAGGGATGTGCCCAGTGCCCAGGAGGCACGCGATCGACTGCACTTATTGGTCGGCGGGGCGAGAGCGAACCTCTTCCGCTAAAAGCTGGGCGGGCTACGCACAGCTTTAATTAGGGAGACAGGGCACAGGCAGGCGGGGCCTCAGGCGGCCGGAGCGGGCGGCACGCGATCGACTACACGTAAGAGTGACCTTTCGCCGGAGAGACTTTCGGTGCGGGCTCATCGGGGTCCCTCCGATCAGTGAGCTTGCTGCGTCGGCGGCTGCTTGCGCGCTTGGATTCGGCAGCTTTGCGCCCCGTTAGTCCGCGCACCAAAGGTCACTCTTGCCTAGGGTCTTTCTTGCGTGTAACCGATGCGAGCCTGGAATATTCCTTATCTGGAGAGGATGGTGGTGATAGCCATAGCCAATCCTCAATTGGACTTCCGTCGGTTTCCAGACACTGGCTTCCTCATCCAGTGGTTTCTTGTCCAGTGCCCTCACCGTAACAACAACTCGCTCATGACCCCGCCATGGGTGGGGGTCACGAAGCTCGCTCATGACCCCGCCCGGGAGGGGTCAAAATGTTCGCTCATGACCCCGCCCGGCTGTTTCAAAATGCTCGCTCGCGACCCCGCCCGGGTGGGGTCAATGTGCTCGCTCATGACTCATCCGGATGGGGCCAGAATGCCCGCTCATGACCCCGCCCGGGTTGGGTCAACATCCTCGCTCGTGATCCCGCCCGGGTGGGGTCAAAGTGCTTGCTCATGATCCTGCCTGGGCGGGGTCCACATGCTCACTCATGACCCCGCCTGGGTGGGGTCATTTCGCGATTGACTCCCAAATGCCGAATGTGTGGGAGTGAGCATTCTGACCCCATCTGGGCGGGGTCATGAGGATGTATTTTTGGCTGCAGGCGGGGTCATGAGCGAGCGTTTTGACCCCGCCCGGGCGGGGTCATGGGCGAGCATTTTGACCCCACCCTGGCGGGGTCATGAGCGAGCGTTTTGGCTTCGCCTGGGCGGCGTCATGAGCGATCATTTTCACCCCACCCTGGCGGGGTCATGAGGATTTTGGCCCCGTCCGAATGGTCATGAGCATGCATTTTGGCCCCACCCGGTCGGGGCCACTTCCGATCATTTTGGCGTCACCCGGGCGGGGTCATGAGCGAGCAGTTTGGTCTCACCCGGGTGGGTTCATGAGCGTTTTTTTTCACCCCACCTGGGCGAGGCATTTTGACTGCACCTGGGCGGGGACATCCCGCCTGGGCGGCACTTTCTAGCTAGCACCACGCAGCCTGCACCACGTAATATGGCAAGGGGCAACACGCATCGACCATATCCAGGGCTCGTGAATTTGTAGCTCTGGGGCCACACGCCGGTCGTTGGAATTTGGTATGTCTGGATTCCCGGATCCCCATCTGCTTTGGGCGCTTTTCTGCTTCAGGAGAGTGGAGTGGTCTTCCCTGGCCCCTCGGCCTGAGGGGGCGGGCGGAGGCCGAAGTTACTCTCAACGCCTTCCTGCTTCGTGTTTCTACCCGCAATATCCCGTCCGACGTGTAGACGAAGACTGCCCCCTCCTTCTGCCTTCCCCCTCTGTCAATTAAAGCTGTACGCGGCCCGCTTAGCTTCGACCGGAAGAGGCTCGCTCTCGACCCGCGGATCAAAAAAGTAGACGAAGACTGCATGCAGCAGCGCAGTGCCCCCGACAAGGGGGTCCAGCGGATGCCTCGCCCGGCGGAGAGCCCCGATACCTCGCTGGAGCAGGGGCGGGCCCAGCCCTTTTGCATCCTTCGCCGGCTCGGTGAAGGTGAGTACGTACACATGTCTTGTCAGCTTGTGTTGCTTGGTTGTTTTCTCCTAGGCCTCCCAGATGGGTCGGAAAGGATGGGATGATCAGGAGGATCGCGCCGCATCGCCGATGCATCGGCGACGCGGCTCGACGCGGAGCCCGATCTTCTCCAGGCCGACGTCGCCGATGCGTCGCCGACGTCTGCTGTGCATCGACGATGCATCGCTGATGCACTGGCGGTGCAGCTCGATCCTCCGACCCCCATCTGCTCGGGCCCCATCCGGGAGGCCTCGATTGCTGGCGTGTAACAACCCAGAACGCCTTGCAATGGTGATGCCGCCTGATCTTCCTGTTGGCGATGCCACCAGGGCTGTCTTTTGCTGGGGCGTTGGAGAAAACATCTTCCCCATCCCTCCTGTTCATCGCCCCTCGTGGGCTGGCGCGTGCGGCCGGCACGGGTCGAGACGCAGTAGTTCGAGTGCAGATTGGTAGCATTCGTTTATGCACATTGCACCGTGCAGAAGCTCATCAGCCGACTGGCTGTTCTCATGGGCCAAGTTTCCACCACCACTGCCATAGGTAGGACGCGGGAGAAGGGAGGATGGGTAGGTCCTCCTCCTCCTCCTCCTTCTCCTCCCCCACCTCCTCCTCCTCCTCCTCCTTCTCCCCCTCCTTCTCCTCCTTCTCCCTCCTTCTCCTCCTTC